GCGGTGTCGTGCTGTTCTATGCAGTGCTGTAAATCAGTGTTGGACTCATGCTTTCGGTTGGGCAGCTAAGTTATTGGCCTCACTGTCCCCTAGCGCTGTCTTTTTATAATTGTCGGCTTAATTGTTCCGCTATCGTTTGGCGTTGCATGTTGCAGCAGCATCGTGGTAATGAAAATTAAGTTGGAGAAGGAGTTGAAACTAAAGTTGCATATCATCGTAATTGCTTCAGCAGCGGTAATGATCTTTTGAAGGCAACGCATCTCAGACATGAGCTTGCAAAATGTGTGGGCTGCAGTGAATACAGATATTTTTGTTGCCTTTGTACAGGCTTTTTACTTTAATATAGTGTATTAATATTTTACTTAAGGGATGCACATCAGAGGAATCCCTACATGTTCTGAGCTTCGGCGAGTCAAATCAATACCACCTACATTTGTATTTTTCCAAAGAGTTGGCTTAAATTTCTTCTTCATTTATTGCTACAATTTTAGCCGTTGTTATAAACTTAGAAATTATTTCTTAATTGAAGAAATGTGACTTCGTTATTTTAACTAATTTCGGACATGCAGTTATCAGATATTTTTTATTTATTCTTGATGATTTTCTTATTAATGCATTTTTAACCGACAGAGTCTTAATGATTTCTCTCTCTAGTGTTCAGACAATAGCTTTACTCCCCATGTTGAAGATGTATGAAATCCTCTTTTAAATCTCTCAACAAGACTGACTATTCTCTAAAGCCAGCACTGACTCTCTTGGTTTTATTAATACTATACCTCGCTCATTAATTCATTTTTAGATTTTCTGACAGCATTTGGATTGAATACAATTTAATTTCATGGGTAGTCCTATGGGGATGGCGGAAGTGAAACTCGATGATCTTCGTTGGCAATCTTGTATGTGCTTGTTTCAACTTAGCGATAATGCCTTTTGCGCTTTTATTACGATTTATTAAGCTTCTGTGGTAGCTGTTTGAGCTTTTCCTTCAGCAGATTGAGCTTTAATATAAATTATTGAGCTTTCATAGTGCTTTTAAGAACTTTCGCCAAACATTTAAGTTCCTGTGCTCATTCCTAATCTTATACTACTTTTTACAATTTTACATTATCTAGAATAAAAATCAGTGAATAGAAAGTATTTGTGAGTTTAGCTCTACTAAAGAGCTTTCATTACTTTTTGGTGTCACTTAAAGTTTGGATATATATTCAACTGCTCTGCATAACAGCAATTCGCTATACATTTGAAACAAATTGTTAGCACAAAATCACATATAAAACTTTCAAAGGAAATGGAGACACACAAACTTAAAAAAAACCACATCTCCACTAGAGTTTGAGGCAACCATTTGTCGCATTGCTACAATTTCGCTCAGTGTCGGAGCATCAACAATCACTTTCGTATTTAAACTAAAAAGCATTTGCAACACTCGCTGGCATGGTGGCACCTCCCTTCGGCCGATTGGCGAGCTTTCATTAAGATTGTTAATTAAAGATCTGTGGCGTAATTTACTTTGCCACGTTACAGAATGTTGATGCAACATGCTACATGCAGTCTGTTGCAAGTTTTAAATATACACTTGATTTATATATGTATGTGTATGTGTGTGTACTGCATTTAACTTTTAATACGAGCAGCGCCGGCGATAAAATAGTTATGGCACTTTTAAAAGACTAACTGCTGCGAAACTTCGGCGTGTGAAATGTGTTTTCATGTGGAAATTTATGTAGTAACATGTGTGTATGTGTATCTGTTTTGTGCTGATGTTGCATTTACAAGTAAGTGAAAGAAACATTCTGACCACTCATACACATGCACCTGTGTGGTGAATAATGACATGTGGCATGCATTCCAACATGCCGGCATTCATATTTCCTGCAGCATGCCACAAATAATAATGAGCACAATGCAACGAAGGTGTATATTAGCAACTTGCAATTATCAAATGTGTATGTATAGGTGTATGTGAGTATTTGCCTTTTACTGCGATTTGCGCTTCATAAAACTGTCTCAACGTCCATTATTCCAGAGCATTCAAATTTAGTTTTATACTTGCCACAGGCATATATATACACTTAACGCTGGCTGCCGCTACAACAACACAGCAATTTAGCATTCAGCGAGGCAACTAAGTTTCCATCAACGGAAACACAACTCGTCGCGTAATTGTATTAAATGAATTGTGCAACAAAAGCGTGGCAAGTGCAACATGAAATCATGAGCAAAAGCAACAGAAAAACAATCGTCTAGCAAATGTTGCAACCAACAAAGCCGATGTTGGCACGGCAACCTGCAACACGAAATAATAATATTTGTGGTATCGGCGCTCACACACACACACCGCTTTCCGATTGTGGCAGTGATTCTATGAGACAGCAGCGGCTACTAACGCTCCGATCAAACTGTCCAATGTTAGAATGTCGGGACCGCCCTTGTACTGTACGCCAAACGCCATTTAAACGCCATCCATGTGGCTGCCCATTGCCGTCCGTTCGCTGCCCGTTTCATTTTGCTCACTGCTTTTTTCCTCTGGTAATTACAGTCGCTACGCTTTGTTGCAGCCTCGGTGTTTGTCTGCAGCCGTGACTGCCGCCGTCGCCGCACTTGCTACAAACGCGCCCTTTACACAAACCAAGTGCAACATTTGTCTCGCGCAAGTTGCAGCAAAGCATTAACTATACCAACTTAGCTGATGGCAGCCAAAGTGGGGAAGAGAAACTCAAGAAATGAGCAGAAGTTAAATCAAAGTAAGCACAATTGTGTCAGCATAGCAAAAAGCACAGCAGCCGCAACAATAAACGCTGGCAGCAAGCACCACATTTTACATGCCACAAAAGAGCCCAGCCACTGCGCTGATACAGCTATTACTACCTGCCAGCGCGCTGTTGCACGAAGCTACTTGCATGCGTCCCCTCGCTCCACAGCTCCGCAGTTACTATATTTCATTTGCTCTTTAGTATTCAGTGCCACAAATTCTTATTTTATGCATTTTTAGACATAAACTTGTATTACAATTGTTGTAGTTGTTGTTTTTTCCTATGCCACTTTCGGGCGGCGCAAAACTTAAACACCTCTTCCTGCATCTTCCTGAAACAGCGGCAGCAGTCGTCGTCGGTGTTTTATTTCGCTTATGTATCTAGCGCTTATGTTTCCATTATTTTTGTTGTTGTGACATTGGCTTCCTCTCTGTTGCCAGAGCTCTATCTTAAACGCTTTGCTGTTCCTACGAATCGAATATTATTGTGTTCTAATGCTCCTCTGTCTATTTGCTTGTATGTTTATATTATATATATGCTTGTGTGTATATATTGCCATTGGCTACACTGTTTCTTTGCTGTTGTTGCTTTGAGCTACATTCTTTTTTATTCCTTTGCTACTTGCTACAACTTGTGATTTTAGTTTTAGTTTAAGTGTCTGATATAATGATTATAATTGTATGGCACGAATGAGAAGTCGCCCTGTAATCTAAGGAAGAAAGAAAAGAGGAATTCGTTAGAGAGTTAAGCGCAATATTAACAGGTAATGGGAAATTAAAGCAGGAGGCATTAACATGTTCGAAGACTACGGAATAACCTTAATAGATGTGGAGTTTCAAATTATGTAGATCTCTTTTGGATTGAGGAATAAAAAAATACTGAGAACTGTATTGTAAAGATTATATGAGTTATATACCATATGATCAAAATTGACCCGGACTAGCAAAAACATTTGCTTTCACGTATTTTAATACAAATCTTTATTATCACCTTCAAAATATGCTCCTGAGCCAAGGCTTTATTCGATTTGGCATACACTTGTTATAAGTTTCTTTGGTTCGAATCTAGCATTGGCACACTTTATACCCAACGTGATGCCAGCTTACTTTATACTCTCTTTTGGAAGCATACTTAACTATACTAAGACTAACTTCGTCTTAAAAAGTTGAATTTCTTAAGAATCTGTCACCCTTTTTTGAACAAAAACTCTTTACTTCTTTTCATAGTAAACTTTAAGTTGAGAACAATTGAAAATTTTTTCGTTTCAAAGCTCAAAATTAATACAAAGTAACGAGGCTCGGATTCAGAATTAAACCCAGTGATAGTAAGATTATCAAATCAAAGCAACTAGAACAGTTCATTTTACGAATTCTAAAAAAAAGCTTACGAATTGTTATACTTACTATAGTATTGGCACGCATTTGCACCTGTAGAATATGTGTATATTTTGATATTATCGTATCTTTTTAATTATGACGCTGGGTTTGTATACAGAATCCGCAGAGTAATCTAGCTTAACGACCGAAGAAGGGGACTTTAGAACCCTAATTTGTAATTAAAATTCGTCATCTATTACTTTTTACCCATAATATATTCCTTAAGTTAAACTACTATGCTGAGTTATTTCGTACCATGACTCCATAAAATCGCTACCAAAGTAAGACACTTTCAAAATGTTGCTTAACAGAATTGGGAAATTTTCAAAAAAAAAAGAACTCAACATGAGGCAAGAATTTGTGGAGGATTTTTAATAATTCCTGCATGTGTTCACACTGCCAAACACATCTTGCTAAGCTTGCGAACAACAAAACTGTAAACCAACCGCAAGCTTAAAGTTTCATGTAGTCCGAATTAAATAACCACTGGTACCGCTGCGAATGCTTTCGCACAGTTTTATGAACATCAACTACTCCTGAGTGCATATAACCAGTATACGTCTTTTTTTTTTCGCCGTTAATGGTCGCTCGTTTGATGCTGCGCGTTGAAACTCAAACAATCACGAGTAATGAAATACCCATTCTCTTAATGCCGACTGATTAAAAGTCATCCTTTCATAAACGCATCTTCAAAAGAAGGGAGGAAGAATAAACTTGTGGATGGGTTTTAATATCACTATACCTACACGAGATGAAATGGTGTATTTTTAGAAATCATATGTTTGTTCCTTCAAATCGAACTTGGAAAAGCAATTTGAGAGAATAGCGCTTAATTTTGGTCAAATTGCTGCTATTATTGTTACTTGGAATTGGGTCATATTTTATGTAAATCGCAGATGGTGCTGTAATTCAAGCCTTAGCAACTCAATGGATCGACAGATGGCGCGCTTAGATTATATTCTTCCTCAAATAAAATAAGTTTTGCGAAAATTTTAAATTGGGGGGGGGGGGCGCCGCCGCGGGGATTTGCTTACAGTGTTTTTTCCTTATTTTCTTAAATAATTGTAATGAAAAGTACGGCGGGTTTTTTTATTATTGACAAGGTTTTTATATTTAGAAAGAAGTATTTTCTGGGAAATAATTCGAAAATATTTAGCATAAAATATTGGTGGGTACAATACCATTAATTTGTGGTACAAAAAAACACACAAGTCGACTTAGGCTGGGCTGGATCTGTAGACTTCAAATTCCACAAGAGTATTTATAATTGTGAAATTTTTTTAAACCAATAAAGTTTTTTTTTTTCATTGAAATAAAAAATTCAAAATTTTAAAGTTTAGATATAACGGGAATACATCACTTGCAAATCAACCAAAAAATTTTTTTAATTCACTTTTTTTTCAGATAAAAAATACGTTTGGAAGGTCATGTCTCACGTCATTGTGAATGATGTTTAAGATCTTCTTAATTTCAAAAAGTTTAACTGCTTTTTCAAATAAATCCGTGAGCAGTCCAGCCTGCAAAACTTAGCATCTTTGCCATCTATTTAAATTTTTTTCTCTAATTCCTTCTTTTTTTATATTAGCGCTACTGTTTGTTACTAACTGCTTACTGACGTTTATCTTGTGTATTTACAGTTATTGGGCCAGAACAAACCACGTATGGCGCCGGAGTTGCAATCTAACGGTGATCCTACATCGGAAATTGGGCCACTGGATCTAGTTTCCAAAGGGGAATCCGACATTCCTGCTGGACGGCAAGCAACTTGCAGTGCTGCAGCCGCTCGATGCGATGAGGAGAATCTGAGTCACATTGTCTTCAGGTGAGTCGACGAAAAGCGACCACAAGCTTAAGGTCTAGAACAAAGTTGAGGCTTCAAGATAAAGTGAAGCAGCATGTGTTTGATCGTGGAGTTGAGAGTATGTTTTGTGTAAGATGAATTCATGTGTTACGCAGCGCGTCCTACAAGGCGGCTGGCTTGCGGTAATATATATACAAGTAGGTGGAATGTGCACTGAAATGTATGTTATGTATGTGGTAGAGTGAAAAAAGCCTCGCGTGGCTTGCCGCTGTGGATTCTTGTTTGGTGAAATGCAAATTTGTTTAATGGCGAATTTTAACAGTTGACGCACAAATTCGCCAGACACCAACAGAAACGTATGTAGGAAGCTTAGCTAATAACAGAATATGCAGCGTTCTTATCTTTAATTGTGCGCATTTGGCGTGCAGGCGCGCAATTTTCTCAAGCATTCTTTCTACTTATGCAAACCACCAACGAGAGTGCTTTCACTTTTGGCAGTGAGTGCGTTATCAAGTGTCTGCGGTTTATATCTGCCTGGCTTTGTTTTATTTAAAAATATTGAGCGCTTTTATTTGTGTTTATTTCATTTTGGTTTTTACTTTATTTAATTTTGTTTTAAATTTTATTTCATATTGCTGCATCACAGGTCTCCTGTTCGATTCGCAACGCAACCAACAAGCGACGCAGCATTCCGATTATTGTGCGCGTATCTGATGTCAACGACAATGCGCCGCGCTTAATGAACACACCCTATGAGGTCACCGTGCCGGAGGTAAGAAATGAACAATCTCTATGAAATTACAAACACAAAGCATAAGTAATATTAAAGAAGCGTACATTGGTATATGCATGTGTGTATGTAGAAGTAGTGGCAAAAAGCGAAAAAAGGAAATTAACAACTTTTTTAACTTTACGAAAAACCATATTTGTTTGTTTTTTGGCTTTAATTTGCCTCTTCGCCGCAATCTTGATAAGCTGCTTAGCGGGAAGCGACTGCGTCGGCGCACCGGCTCGCCATGACGCTGTTGCAAATGCATTTTCGCGCTACGAAATTTATATTTGCTTTCCTTCTTCTCTTCGCTATATTTTGCGATCTATAATATTAACAGCAACAACAACAAAATCTGCTCCACTCCGATTTAGCTGGGATTACAAAACCACAATCATTGTGGCAACGCCAACAATTAAATGTGCCTAGTTCTAAGGCAAGGTGTCTCCCGCACAGCCTATCGCTCGCTTGAAGCGTCCTCTTCAGCTGGTAAATGATTCGCATTGCACACTGCAGTCAAGTTCGCCAACCTGGTGGGTTGTTTCCATTGATCGCAACTGGTTTTTCGCGCCCACGCACACTCTTATTTCTTTTAAACTGCAAATAATACCAACAAGAATTGCTCATAAATGCTCGCAAACATTTGTTAGTGGTGCTACCGTTGGCGTAGTTGTTGTTATTAGAACGTTTTTAAACGACTCTCCAGTTAACTCTGTTAAGATTGACGTTAGCTGTACTGCATATGTGTTTGTATGCAATGGTGCTGCCTTAGAACAATTATGCGAAATTGAAATGTTTCGCAAAATTCAAAAGACTTAAGCGACAAACTCGTTTTGAATAAAGTCTTCTAGTAAACCATACATAAAATATTGTTATGACTATTTTTTTAAATAAAGTGGCCACTTTAACCGAATATTTATCACCATTTGTTACAGTAACAGTAAAATTTGGTACACAAATACCGTTAGACCCACAATTTAAGTTTAATTTAATGAACTTAAATAGTTTTATGAGCTAACAACTAACCAAAAGTGCAAAAGTATGGTTTTTATAACGAGTACTAGATATATGGAAATATATATCGAACTACATATTTTTAAAATGGTGACTAAATTCTACTATTATCCAATCAGCTTCTATGTAAAAATATTTGTAGCATGTCTTAAAATAGCTAAAGATTAGATTGTTCGATGAAAAGACAGCACGTGACTCCAATTATGGCCAAATTTGATATTCGATATATTCAACTAACGTAATAGAGAGAGATTGCGGTTTAAAAAATGTGTTTAAAAAAATGTTATTCTACATAATAGGCTCAGGATAATGCACAAATTCCATACGAATAATATAAAATAATAAACTGTAGTTTCAAATGTTCTAAAATTTATAATTCTATCTAAATACGCGTACATTAACATCCCTTGTTTTCATCTCGGAATTATTAAGTTATGGTTAAAGTTTGTGAGACCGTAGCTCCATTTAAAAATTGCATATCTCAGTGTTTAAAGGTGCCTTATAATTAATTATAATTATCTTCCTGTTAAATAAATAAATAAATAAATATTATATTTCTACACAACAACTTTTCCAAATAAAAATTACAAATTATAAACTTTCAAATATACACAAAAACATAAAGAAATCAATTACTTTAACCACTAAGTACATAAATACTCACATATATACCCTCTACTGCGCTTAATAGTGTGTGCATCGGTGCTTGCAACAGGCAACTGGGAACAGCTGCCAGATTGACAGACATGCAAACAAAGTAACATCAAAACGAACGTGTCAGCTGTCAGAAGTTTCACATGCGAAATCATTTCAGTCCCTCCTTCTTTTTGCTTTTGTTTCTTTGTTCTTTGTGCTAATTGTACTTTATATTGCTGTTATTAAACAGCCATCTTAACAATGCATTGCCCTGATCAATTATTTTGCATGTGCACATACTAACATACATAAGTGCAACAACTGCAAAATAACAACAAAATTTGGATGCGGGTTGCGTTATTTCGCATGCGTTGAAGATAATTCACAATATTCAATTATGTACAACAATTAGTGTCACTAAGCGATATTAATAAGTACTGAAGGTAAGAATTGAAAAGGACTAGATTGCATAAAAAATTCTTCAAGAAAAATATTATTTTCAATAGTTTTTTTATACACTATACATATATACATATGCACCGTTTTTTTCAAAATTTAAGATTAAAGAAAATTATTGATATATTCAGTCGCTTTCGGTGATACCAACTTCTAGTTATCTATTATCGGTTACAAATTTATATGTTTAAGTTATGCTCACTCCAAGCGAGGGATGGACAAACCATTACATAACATATGTCTTCCATCTCCCTGTAAATGGAATCAAAGCTATATGAAAAAGTTAAAATTGTGGTTTTATGTCAGCAGCTTTCTTTTTTAACAACTTCAACATAGTTTATTTCAAAGGGAAGCTAACAAAGTCGTAGATCAACAAGATGCGCTATTTAAATCAGTCAAAAGCGTAATATATGCATTTCTCTATGTGGTTCAACACAGAATGACAGACAGCTTTTTTTTCATGAATAATTTGTTAAAAATTCTTTTGAAATCCTTAAGATGACTTTTAATTTTATTACCGAGCTGGGAATGATCAATAATAATGATGAATGATGATGATATGAGGAGGATGATGATAATGAGAGATGACGATTTATGAAGTTGATGGTAGATGATTAATGTTTGATGATGATAATGATAATGAATGATAATGAAAATGGATGATAATGAATAATGATGATAATGAATATGATGATATGATAATAATAATTGATGATGATGATGACTGAAGAGGAATGATTGATAATACAACGATGAAGATGATGGTGATGATTATGATGACGATTGATGATGCTAATGATAATATAATGA